CATCGCTACTAGTAACAAGTGCCTTACTAGTAGTAACAAGAAGCTACTAGGGACAACGCCCTTTTTTGCTTCCAAAACCCGGCCGCTTTCCTCCCCACGATCGTTCGTCCTGTGATGAGCGACGCTCTTCCGTTTTTGACCCAGGTCCAAACGTGAAAATGGAGAAAATGGCTACAAGTCACAAGCCCAGATGGGTTGGAGAACTTGAATCCTGAAGGCTCAATGCTAGGTGTTGGCTACCAAAAAGATGTCCGGAATCTAGTTTTAGGCATTGGTTGCAGTAAATCCTATAGATTGTTTTGTAGCTTGGTTCTATGACATGCAGCTGTGGGGTCAGATTGGTGACAGGTAACATTACTGTACTGCTGCCAAGCTGTATGCATGGACCACACGCAGCACATGCCAATTCCTTGGAAGCCCACCCAAGATGGACGAAAGACACGAATGTGTGACGCGTTTCGAGCCCTAGTATTCGGCGGTGCAGAAACAGCTATAATGATTGAATCAAAGGCGGGCCCAGCTTGGCCAAGTGATTTCTGGTACAGCGTCTACAACTGCCAGCATCGGCGGGCCTCCAAGGTTTGGTGACTTCTCCCGGGGGCTTCTACATCAAATGAAGGCAGTTCGTTGGATATGGATTGGTAGAGGATCATTCGTCGCGGACAGCGATCTTGGACATTTGACATTTGACAACCATCTTTTTGAGAAGCGGATCAAACCGCAGATCTTGTGCTTGGGAGCCGGCTGTGATGTGGTATGGGGTATGATGTGGTTCCCAGCCAACGCACTTCTCCTTTTTTCACTCGAAGGAAGAATTCCACTATATTCATTTATATTCCGCTTGTACTCTCCTTCGTTGCACCCATCGAGGTGTTTCACTGCATTCTTCGGATTCCTTCAGGTTGGGGTTCGGGACTTTAAGCACAAGGTCTCGGACACGGCACTCACCTTCAAGGCGACCCGATGAAAAGGGGGGCGAAACGCGCAAACCGTTCCGTGCGGTGGACAATGACAACGGGTCGATGGACGAGTTGCAGCGGTGAAACAGGTTGCAGCTGCAGCGGTGTCTCTTTCAAGACGAGTTTTTGGGTCCTATTTGGAGTGAGGAGTACAAGTAGGCTGCTACGGTCCGGCCTGTGCCGTATCCACGCAATCAAATTGAGATCGGCTGGTCACTGATCAGGAGAACAGTGAGAACCGCACCGTGGAGTATGTGCAAAAACTGGCAGCCTGGGGCACAGAGTGAGTGATAAATGATCCATTCCACAAATCTGTACCTATTTCAAACCTAGAATGTCTTCTTTTCAGGACTGCATCGGTATTTTCAAATCCTGGGTGGGCACAGAGTGTCTTCTTTGTTGAGCTTTCATGTCTTGCGGTGGTAGTTAGATTTTTGCGGCGACAACATGTGCTAGGGTGCGACGACTATATGTGGAGTCATGACAATTCCATTATTTTCCCTATTCTAAGTACTAGTATCACCCAAATGTTTTTTCACACATGAGAAGCTTCTTTTTGTAGTTTTGCAGGTGTAGGATGTACTTGGTCCTGAATCCATGCAATCATGACAGCAAAACACAGAGTCCAGCGACGAAACCCTGACTACCCTGACAAGCAGGTGCCTTTTTCACTGAAAAATGAACAACATTAATTTCAGCACTCCGAAAGTGGACCATGTGGTGCTTCACTGATACTGGTCTTTCTATGTCTTGCTCATCTGCAAAGCTCATGGATAGGAGCAAAGGGCATCGCTACTAGGAGCAAGGACGCTACTGGTAGCTCCTGGCCTTACTACTAGGAGCAAGAAGCTACTAGGAGCCAAGGACGACAGCCTCAACAGCAACTCATCCCAACTTGCCAAGGCCACCGATGAAGCCGTGCAGGAGTGATGGTCTTGCGGTGCTCGTGTGCATCACTGATGCCTCCTTCCTCAAAAGATATATAAAGATCTACAGAATTCCACTGATATGTCCACCAAGAGTTCTAAATTTTTGATCCATTCCCAATACTTCCAATGCTGGAAGACCCGTTGGCATGAAGTTCCTTGCATTCCTTCTCTTGATCAAGGAAGAAGGGGCTTGTCTTCTCTCGCCTCTCACAGTTGCACCGTTCGATCCACGTCCAGTTCGTGATGAGTGATGAAACACTTCCCCAAGCGTCCCAGCCACGTTCGGTTCTTTACCGGTCCCCGGACAAACTGGTGCTTGATCCCAGGACATGGCGCAGAGTTTGGACGGCACGAACGCCTCCACCGTGGCGGAGCGCTTTTGGAAGGAGCTTTGCAAGGACAGCCGGACGCAACGACGAACGACGAAGGTCTCGGACATCACGGACGAAGGATGCATCAATGGACCCTGGAAAGCCCTGGACCCTGGAGTCCAGCTTATCTAGATTTTTCCAGACCCGATGTGTCCGGCAATTGTTCTTCGATGTGTCCGGCACTGTCGGTCTTTTCAAGATGTTGCAGGTGACTTTTTGTCCCTCCACTTCCTCTGGTGACACCCTCATGTCTTGCTGAGAATCCTAGGAAGACTCATCCACCCTCTGAGGATCACCCAAGATGGTGTCTCGTCCTCTGGCTCCGGCTTCTTCCTTGTGATGATCTGGCATAGCTGTCGAATTGAATGAACAATGATCACCACCCTCACTCAGCGTATCCGATCTCCGGATGCTTGCCACCTCATTCAGCGCTTTTTTCCGTGCCTTTTCTGGGGTCAGACATGGGATTTCCCGGGGGTCCTGTCAGGCTGCTCACACCGACCATGCGGAGCAGATGGATGAGAACCTCGGACGATGAGACAGGGGCGCATGTGGTTTTCGGATGTTTTCGGTTGGTACTGTTTTTGGAGGAACATGCTGCGGCTGTACGGTGCAGGCTGTAAGTTTGTTTTGTATCTCTTGTTTCTGGTGAATCCCAACCTCTTCAGTCAGATTGCAGATTTCTCTGGCCTATGGTGCCTCCAGTGTACAGTATCCGCAAAGTGGATGAGAAAGCGCAGCCTCCGGAGCCCTGCTCGCCTAGGACCATGACGGAGGAATCGTCTGGACTGCTGCAAGTGGAGGCAGGAGAGACGATGCATCCAAGAGTGAAGGGTTGAGTACGTGTTTCAGTCTGTTGCTTTTTGCAAAAGCATCTTGTTAGCCAGCCTTCCATTTTTTTAAAATATTCTTCCGAGGATGGTGTCAGAACCTGATTTGTTAGTGCGTGAAAGCAGGCATTTCAAAGTGAACTGTAGTCCCATAGAGGCATTCTGACACGCACGGCAAGACAAACTGATGCATTTCTCGACATTTTGCCAGTCTGTTCAGATGTCTTTCAGATGTTTATGGTTCTCGAGGAGCCCTTCAGGCCCTTCATGGCGTAGAAACATGTCCTTTTGGAGTCTTGCTGCAGAAATTATGCCTCTTCTCTTCCAGTGGTGAGGACGCAGCACACCTTGGCCAACTGTCCGCTTCAGCCTTCCTTCGCTTCCTCCCCACGCCCTGTGGCCACGCCACACCCCACGTGCACGCCATGCTGTGGGATAGAACCGCATCCAATGCGCTTCCTCAGGTGCTCAGCGCTGGTACCGACGATCGACCATTGCTGCGCAGCGACAAGTGGCCTGGCCTCGGCTCGGCTGGAAAGGAACCGAAGGGGGATCCATTGCCACCCTTGTTTGGGTGACTGAAATCAGGATGGAGTGCAGGTTTTGAGGACGATGGGTATTTGCTGAAACTGAGATGGTACCCATGGAATCGTATGGATACACTAGAACATGTGGGAAACAGGATTGGATCCGGCTGCATCGAAATTTCCGAGTCTGAAGGGCCATGTCATTTGCCCATAGGAAACTGACCATGGAAAAATCTGCACAAGGATTCACCTGGCGTATTCAGTTTCAGCATCTGAGTATTTGCAGTGAAGAAAAGGTGGTCAGACTCGTTTGTACTTGCTCGCAACCTGTGTAGAGCAGGTAATGTTTCTTCGATACATGTCATTGGCCAAAATAGTAGTCATTGGGCTTAAGTCATTTGGCACCTTGATGCCTTCTGAAAATATTTGTGCGCTTCGCTCCCTACTGTCATTCTTTGTTGCCATGGCAAGCGGTCAAAGTAGCTCAAGTGCTCCTTTTGACTGTGAGTATTCGGACGATGTGGACTGTGACATCAGTCACCACAGTGGGCCTCACAGAGGGCGCTTGTTGGAGATTGCCGGCTGTAGCAACAAGCGCTCCTCGGTGAGGCCCACCGTGGTGTCGTACCGCCTGATGCACTGGGCCTTTCAGCGCCTCTCTAGATTGAAATTCCCTGGTCGGGAGGTTTGGCTGGACTAGGCAGGCGCCGAGCGCCCTGAAACCTATGCGGCACGTTTCTTTTGCTCTCCACTTTCCTTTCTGAGTAGCTGAAAGTAGCTTTCTTCTGCGACACCCATGGACCCATCTCAGGGTGCCTGGTGTCCTGTTTCTTGCCTGAGGTTCAGACCTTAGTGCTGGGATGAAAGGGGGCCACTTTTCCCCAATGGCTTGTGTGGCCCAAGAGAGTAAGAGGGCCAAAACATTTCAAAGCAACTCAGGACTCAGAACAAGAAACATAACCAAGGTGCAAAGAGCCTGCTGCGCTTTGCACTCGAGTTCGGCTTTTTGGAATATAGACTCTCCAATGTGGGAATTCAAGTGAGTCCCCGAACACCCAACAGCAACAAAGTTCAAGGGAAAAGCGGTTGTCGTGCACTGTTTGATGAAAATGATGTGAGCTGCAGCCGATTTTCTCATGGCCAAGGGTCCGGGCGGAGAAGCCCGTGGTGCTGGTGAGTGCGGGGGAAAGACGAAGCAAAGCGCTGAAAGAGGGGAAGGCGGCCAAGTTCCAGGCCACTTGATGTCTCTTTTGGGCGTGGTGGAAGGGAAGTGCTCTTTGGAATCGTGCTTGGCACGGGGAACATTGAGGCAGGTGGATGAAAGTTGGGTGATATGAGATGATATTGCGGGTCGTTAGTCTATTCCTTTTCCCCATGCAGTAAAAGTGCAGCCACTGCTGGTCTTGGAGCATTGGGTGGCCCAGGACAAGACCCTGTTGCCTATTCTTCACCGAAACATCGATCAAGGCATCCTTTTCTTCATTGCACCACGCCCTTTTTCGCACCGGTGACCAAACCAGATCAGCTACCAAGACCAGTCGATCAGCAAATATCAGTGACGGAATGCACTCTGCGTGAGAGACATGCCCCCGTTGCCAGAATCGCTGGGAAGGTCTTCGAAATCCTGGGTGCAGATTTGCTGATCTTCACCTTTGACAGGCCTATACACCGTAGAGTTGTTCAGAGGCCTCTGTGGTGACTGAGGTCAGCTAGGTGTTTTCTGGATCAGGGATTTTGCTTGCCTTGGGGGAGCACGCTTGTAATTACTGGCAGTCTGGTTGGTGTTAATGGTTTGCGGACTGTTCTCTGCGGCTTTAGCAGCAGCATTTTCCAGCCAGGTACATCGCTGCCCCTCACAATTCCAAAAACGTTTGTGTGGTATGTAGGGTGCAGATGTTTGTTCCTCACAAATCGTCTATCCTCAAAGAACCATTGTGGCAAAGCATGGCCCCACGGCCCACAGCTCTTTGTTAGTTGATTCGCCCCGGGCCGTCCATGTGTGGAAAGAACATTTTTTTTTTTCCCAAATCCTGGCCTAAAAGACCATCCGGTGCCATAAGAGCAGCTCAAGCTGCCGGAACTGAGGGCCGAACCGGCCCGCCAAAAGCATAGGGATGTCTCCCATGCTTGAGTGCCAGCTGGCACCATCGTTTATCTAAAATCTGAAGACGACACTCTTCAGTTTCGTCGTGCGGAGAAAGGGATCCAGATAAATACGCATCCCTACATTGCCGGGAGCCATGCCGCAAGTGCTGAACAACGCGGCCACGAAAATGAAAATCACACCCGCAAACAGGACACAACGACCCATGAACATAAAACCAGATGGGGCTCCGCTTACAATGCTTCTTCCGCATGTGCGCAGCCAGGCCGGCCGGGCTTGCGCACACAAAATTGCACTCGGCGCATGCAATGCCAAACTGAGGTCGTTTAACCAACCGATCCAAACAAACAAAAGGACAGCAATTAGGGGACCACACATTCAAGACCTCCTGAAACCACAGGGGCCATCTCGCAACAAACCGGCCCCACTCCTCCCATTCAACGTCAGGAGAAGGTAAGCTGGAAGTCTTGCCAGAACTCAAATGAAACCACAGCAAATCCTTGACCACAGCATTGGCCCAGCAGCGTGCATGGGGCACAACATCCAGGGTACCACCACACTTCTGCCAAAAACGTAAACGACGTTTAGCTACGATGGCTAGGATGTGACATGTCCCAGCTCTATTTAAACAATCCTCGTAGCTCAAATTCCACAAAAAATCATCGAGCTTGGCTCCAAGGGCCCATCTCAGGCATTTGTGATCTTGAGCAATTAGCATCCTGACCTCACGCTCCTCCAGCTCAGGCCAGCTTTCCGCTCCATACAGCAACCGGGCACGAGTGACTGCAGAAAGGAGCTTCCACCGCGCTTTCACAGGAAGCGATTTCTTGTCAACAATCCCACGACGAAGCTCATGAAAAGCCTGACTAGCCTTCTGGCACCTGTGTCGTATTTCGGGCGTAATGGAGGCATTAGCAGACACCATGGCTCCCAAGTACTTGTAACCCTGCACAAATCTCAAGAGCAAGGTGTCATCAACCTGCAAACCATACTGCCATCCAGTCTCGGTGGAAACCCAGCTCTCACGTTGACATTGTCGAGCCTTCTTTCCTCGAAACTGAACGAGGGCCTCTGTTTTGCCCTCTTGCATGTTCAAAAACCAGGCTCAAGCAGCGAAGCTCCTCAAAGACAGTGAGGAAAGCAATCTTCATGGCACGCAGGAGGTCAGGGGCGTACTCAGCACGAATAGCAACCACAAGATCGTCCACATACCACTGACTCATGAACGCTAACAACCTACCGTCATTCGCTTCCTCTTCTAGCCTGGCCTGTATTTTCAAGACCGCGTCATTGATGTACATGGCAAAGGACACTGGAGCCAAAGGATCACCTTGTTTCACTCCCTTGTTCATTTGAACAAACCACTCGTCGTCCTTGCCGAGGCACAACCAGTCACCACTCTGCCACGCGGCCAACGACATGTGTGCCCAGGATTCCGGACCAAGCATGGCCGCTGACTTCTGTCGGAGGACTGTTTTGTCAACGCTGTCGTATGCCTTGACCACGTCAAAGAAGATGAAACACCAGCTTTGACCAGCCTGATTGGCCTTGCAAGCCCACTCACGAAGCTCAAAAAGGGGCTTGGCAGTACCGGCGTTCGGACCAATGCAAAACTGTCTAGGTGCCCAAAACGAAGCGCATTCACTATGAACACCTCTAAGCAGATATTTCTGCATCACCTTAGCCAAACCGCTTTCTAGAACAATGCAGCGATGATCATTAGGCCGTAGTCCACCTTGCAACTTGGGCAACCAAAGAGCACGCCCACCCTTCCAAGCCAGAGGCCACCGGCCTTGAGTGTGAGCAGCCAGCGCAACAGCGCGCAAACCCGGAGCAACATAGTCCCGCAACTGCTTTAAAAGATCATTTGAAATATTGTCAGGGCCAGGGGCCTTGCCAGATTTCAAGCCTGCAAGATCTTTCAAAAAAGTCGCAATTGACGGTACAAGGTGCAAAGGCCAACACACCTCCTGCTGCTCCGGAATGGTGCTCAAAACTGATTGCCATTCAGAGCGGTCAAGCACGCCACTGTGGTAAAGAGAAGCGAGATACTCGCCCCACACTTTCTGCGCCTCTTCTTCTGAAGTGACAATAGTTCCATCTGCTTGTTGAAGCTTGACTCCAACCCTTCGTGCCCTAGGCTTGGCTCGTCTGATGATGCGCCACAAAGCACGGTGATCACCACGCTGTGAGGCACTCACAGCAGCATTCGTAAGAGAGCTGAGGTAGGCCAGTTTGGCATCCCTAACCAGACAACGTCTAGTACGGACAAGATGCGCAAGCAAGTTCTTGGCCAGCGAAAGCTTGGCATCATGTATTCGACTTTGCAAAGGGCCACGCACATACCTGGCCTGTCTCTCAAGACGCTGAACAGCACGCAACACCAGACGAGCAGACTCACAAGCCTCCCACGGCGCACCGTCCATCCAAGAGAACTTTGGCTTCCTATGCATAGGCAGCTGCTTCACAGCTTCCAAGACAGCCTCACGGATGTTGGAAGCAAGCAACTCTGCCAGGCCATCAACATCGCGCCAACCTTCATGTGTGACAGGGCCACGTTCGCAAAGAATAGCTTTTGCCTTGGCAATTTGCGGAGGCTGCAATTTGCGCGGCATACTCTGCAACGACTTGCCTTTCACGCGATTGAAGTTCAAGGCCTTCACGGTGCAAGCAATAGGCCGATGGTGAGAGAAGGGGCTGACGTCAACAGTGAAATCCTCCGGGCTGCGACATATAAGTTGCCCAGCATGATCCCAGCACGAAGTGGAAATGAGGATGAAGTCAAGCCGGCGTTGCTGGTTTCCTTGTTTGAACGTCCACTGATGTTCAAGAGCAGCAGGCAAGACAGGCCATAGATTGAGGTTGTCGCACACGTGCAACACATCTTCCCCACAGACATTTGTCTCATCTTGGTAACCAGGACCTTCAAAACATGCGCTCAGATCAGCCCAATTGATGCGAGCGTTGAAGTCACCACCCACAATGACTCCATAAGTAGGAAACTTGCCCGACCAATCCTGACACCGAGAAATGAGTTCCGAAAAGAACTGGACACGTTCCTGTCGTGGCCTACCACCGTGTGGGGCATGGACATTGAACACCAGAAAGCCACATTCACCGAAGTGAAGGCGAACCATCATGAATCGAGGAGAAAGTGCCACAACCTCCTTGACATGGGGTTGCAGCCCACTGGATACACACATCGCAACTCCCAACTGTCCATTGATGGAGTCGGACGTGTACCAATGGACACGGTCAATCTTGAAACGACCTTCCTTCAACCGAACTTCCTGCAAAAGAGCCAGGTCAATGCCATAGGACATCAGCTTGCGACTGCAGTACACAAGGCCACCAGGGGCCATCAGCGGACTGCGCATCCAGGAGTCCTGGTCATCACCCAGCACATGTAGGGACGTGACGTTGTAGCTTAGCACATTGAGAGTACTCCTAGGAATGGTTACTCCAAGTCGCTGTCCGGAAAGAACATTTGTTTCTCAAAATATTGAAGCATCCACTTTCATGCACAACATCAGTCTCATCCAACTGCCCCGGCAATCTCTTGGCGTTTCACAACATCAGTTGCTCCAAACAATCCGTCTGGGCGGAAGGAAATCCGTTGGACGGGTCAGCCGTAATCCTGCCAACTTGCATCGTGACGTGGAGAAACTGCGGCAGGGCCAGCTCCAAGTTCGAGTTGGGTGTGGAGGAGAAGGCTTTCTGTGGTGGCTGCGTGCTGCCTTTGTGCGCGCGGCTCGGAGAGCAGAGTTAGAGAGCAGATGAGAGCAGTCATAACCGTAGCAGGAAATACATGGCCAGCAAGACAACTTAGAAGCTGGTTCTGTTGCGTCTTTGCAACATGTCCAGCGTGATAGAATCTCTTTTGCTGCTTGCTTCCCACAACTTACTTGGTCCTACTGACTACAGTTTTGTTTTGCATCCTACATCGTTGAAAGAACAAATCCTCATGAGGCACAACAACACTGAACGAATACTGGTGCATTCCAACAACGCGGTGATTTTTCAGAATCCAATCAACAGTTTTCCTAAAGCCCGTTGAAACACAGCATCTTACGCCCAAACAACCAGTGTATTCTTTTGTTTCTGCTTCCAGATGCTCTATATATAATATATATATAGAGAGTTTGGTTGAGTTTCTGGAAATCAAATAGTTCGTTTGAACATGAGGATCTTGCAGCCGGAGCACAATAGTGGCCTTGGCGTTGCTCTGGAGAGCAGCCTGAGACAGAACAGGCGCGACCGGACCCGGAGAAGCTGCGACGGGACTTGACCTACTGCAGACACAGGCCCGAGGAAGTAGGGCGAAGTAAGGAATATTCCAAGACTGTGTAGTCATTTGGAAGGCACACACGCAAACACATGACATTTGCAGATGTGTCCCCACTAGTGTCCCCACTATATTGTTAAAGACAGGTAAACCAATTTCACAATTATAGTGCGTTGCTGATGGACGTTTTCTCATTCGACTGTGCATTTTTTCCATTGCGTATGGGTTGCAGAAATCGCGTCCATTTTGCACAACATAGTGTTTTGCGGGGTGCGCCCCAGTTTGGCAGTGCTCCAAAAGCTCAGAAAGCTTGACAAATTAGATTTACACGAATTGTCCTTTGTGCATCATCGGATGAGTTGCACAACCCCTGAAGTAGTCTTTCCATTGATTATCAACACTTCCTCAACCCTCTGACAGGAAAAGCACAGAGTGTTGTACAACCCTCTGAAGTGCATGGAGTAAAAGAAACCTACTAGCGATGGCCTCCAACCTACAAGCGATTTCCTCCGACCTAATAGGCCTCCCAATAGCGATGGCCTCCAACCTAATTGTCCTTGTCTCCAACCTAATAGCGATGGCCTCCAACCTTGAGAGATTTCTCAGCCCTCCATGCCACGCTGCAGCTTTGGAGTCACGCTGCAGCTACAGCTCCTGCCCTTGCCACTGCTGCGAACCCGGCGCAAGCTGCAGCGGGGCGACCTGTCGGGCGTGAAGATGCCACAGGAGTCGGGCCGTAGACAAGGGAGGAGGAAACAGTACAAGAAAGATCGCCTCAGACTGGTCATCAGGGCACCCTTGTTGTGGCTATAGCCAGGCAGGGTGGTTCTTGACCCATCCAACAGCCTCGAGGAGAAGCTGGGCCATGTCATTTTGAAGCTTTCGCTGCAGCTTGGTCGGATTTATATACAGACTTTGTACATCATCGTATTATGTGTATATGTATGTAATGTAATGTAATGTAATGTAATGTAATGTAATGTAATGTAATGTAATGTAATGTAATGTAATGTAATGTAATGTAATGTAATGTAATGTAATGTAATGTATGTATGTGTATATGTTACTTGCTGGGATTGTTCCTGACCCTTCCATTTTTCCCAAATTGCGCCAGCGGCACAGGCTGAAGGGTTTCACACCATGACGATTCTGAAAGCGACCAAGCCGAGCTTCGCGTAAAGCGCCAAGTCGTTCGAAAGCGCGGACCGGGTGGGGGGGGGCGTTTTCCCGAAAACTGTGTGTCCCAAACGTTGGAACCACAGCCCGCCTTTCTTTCCTTTCAGCCAAAACAGCTTTTCAGCCGAAAGAATTGCTCTTCCATGAGGCATCTGAAGGAGAGCCCTGCGAGTCTCTACTTCCACCCACGCGTGTTGGACGTGGACTGTGCTGAAAGCAAAGGCAGAGCGGGCAGAGCAGGGATTCGGAGCCGAAGAACGGGAACGGAGACCCTTTCTGACCCGAAGAACGGGTGGATGTTTTGCTTCGGGTCTGACCCATACCATCTTACCTTTCTTTGAACTCACAAAGCTGCCAGTTTCTGGTCTGGAAGGTGATTTTGGAAGATTCCAGCCCTTGTTGAGACCTAATGGACCAATCCCTTGTTGCGGGTTGCCTGAACTTCGTCCAGAGGCCATGTGAGCGACCCCTTCAGCGTGATCCGCGCGGTGGGGATGGCGCTGGTGAGAGTGCAGTCGGCGCTGAAGATGCTCGGTGAATCAAGCATAATTCTTGTACCGAATCTATTTTTAGGAGGACAGATGTATATACCATGGCGATCCATGGTGTACCATAAGTGATGATGGTGTACCAGAAGTGATGCATTTTCTCCCACCACATCATTGGGAGAAGTCAGGTGTACCACTGGACTTTGCAAGGGTTTCAGCATGCATGTCATCGATATGGCCCGGTTGATTCCGGTTGATCTCTAGTTTGTCGGAGGAAGGATGGGGCAGCTTAGCTCACTGGGACTCAAAAAGCCGATCCGAACCCTGAATGAAGCCGGTTGCTGGAAAGCACCATGCCAGATCCCCACTTGGAGACACAAAGCAAGCAGGGTTTGTATCAGGTTTTCAGGTGGGTTGTCGACCGGAAGTGACAGACAGAAGCACAAAAATAAACCTTTGCCCTTGAGAGTTGCAGATAGGTAGAGTGACAGTAGCTGCTACCTGTGGGGGGTTTGCCCTTTGGTTTGCCCTTATGTTTCACGGCCAGCAACAGGCCAAAAGGGAGTGTCGCATGCAAGATTCAATCTTAACCACATGAGATGATGCCAATCTGATGTGGGTTGCAAGTCAATGGGCATGACCCACTCAAAACGACCCCTCCCAGTCACACAGTCTTGAACGAAGTGGTTCGTCCTCCTCCACCCAGGCTGGACCTTTGGAAGGCCTAGTTGAAAGGGAGAGAGAAACTTCAGGGTGATGACTATACTTTACATATCATATATTTATATGCTTTATGTTTTACTTTGTTGCAAGATATGCTGCTTTGCAAAACCTTAACTTTGCAAGTTATATGTCGCCTCTTCCTTTTACAGCCATTTGTACGTCATTTGCTGGGATCAGTGACCACCCTGTTCAAAGGACGTTGGCCCCAACGGGTGATTTCGCCTTTCGCCGAGTTTGGCCGACGGTGCTTGTTGAATGAGTGGCGACCTGTCTCAAAGGCTTCAGGCTCCTGGCCTTACTACTAGGAGCAATGTTCGCTACCAACGGAACAAAGGGCATCGCTACTATAGTAACAAGAAGCTACTAGGGGCTGTTTAGTGAAGCAAGAAGCTACTAGTGAATACTAGTGACAAGAATGCACTTTACAGGGATGTTTCCTTCGGGCAGTCGACACAATTCCGTGAATTCTGCTATCCAGATACTGCTGTTCGAGGGGGTTTCTTGCAGTGCTAATATGTCATGGGGTGCATTGGAGCTCTGAACCCATGAGACAGACTACGAGTTGCCAGGCTGCCATTGATGAAATGCGAGAGAATGTGTTGATGAGTCCCATCTTGATCCTTTGGTGGACCTTCGCGATGCTGCGAGCGCCACTCTGGACCATCGCCTGAACAGCTCAATGCCCGAAAGATGGCCGAGACCGGTTTCAAGCCTGTTCATACCTTCTACTGTAATTATTTGGGAACAACTGAACAACGGAACAACCTCTTCGCTTGTGGAGCAGAGTGCATTCAAGAAAGAACAGACAGAGACGAGATAATATATAGATAGGATCTATGGAAATGAAGCTGTCTCTCATGAACCGGATGCTGTTGTCAGTAGCTCTGAAACATGGTCAAATAATGTCAAATAAAAGATACTAGCCCCTGGAAGAAAAATACATCCTATATATATGCCAAGTTTCAAGAACAAGCATAAACAACCTGAACATGGACCCATCAAATACGAACTTCCTCTCATCAGGATCCATGTTAGATTCAGAGGTGTAAATCTTTCTCCGCGGTTGCATTTCCCAACCGCAGTTTGGCAAAGCACAGACACCTGGAAGCTTCTGTACTTGTTTCAGAGGCCAACATTTGCACTTTGGGTCAGCCGGGTGGAGAAGGGAAGGGGAAGCCCCTCTCTTACTCTTGGCCGATGTGTGAAACTCCCTCAAATCAGACCTGGCTTCATGCCATCAGCACAACGAACACATCACATGAAAGTGGAAAAGAAAAAGAAAGACCCCAGATTCTTCCAAGGTGCCATCCACTTCCAATGCCTTCGTGATGCCTTCGTGAGAGGGACTCGTCCCCCCCCGAAGATGTGAGTCACTCTGATCCCCAAGTGGATGTGTGAGATCTTCATGACGGATGAATCGAACGACTGGACTGGAAGTTCAGCAGAAGAGCAAAATTGGGTGAAGATGTCCCTCCTGTTCAGCACCCCCAAGCTGGGTGGAAGCTCTGTAAAATCCATGTCTCAAGGACCTGGCCCTTCCTCTTGAACTTCTTCCTGGGGCTCTTTGCTTGGACCCTGCGTCAATGTCATGAGCAGAGAACCTGGAGACGTTTGTACATCGATGAAGACGGACAGAAAGAGGTGCCTCACTGCTTGTGCCACATGTGGGAACCCCCAAGAAATGGTCGGTTGGTTGGTGGCCAGGGGTGCAGATTCATCAACTACAGGATAGCCACCTCCCAGAACTATGTATATAGTTATATGTAGTTTAAGCTTGACATGTGGATTCCAAGCTCTGAATAACTTTAGATGTGATGTGAAGATCAGACTTGTGCTTCAATCTTGCGCTTTTTGTTTGAACATGTTTGAATTTAATTCTTTCTTGTCGAGGATCCTCCGGATGTGGTGAAGGAGGCGGTGAAGGCGTCGTTGAAGATGATGCAACTCACCGAGAACTTGAACAAAGCTGCTGCTCAGATTGAGACTTGGCAGGTCAACCCAAGGGGTTTTGGAGAAGTGGAGATGAGTGGAGATGTGTTGTATTGAAGAATCCTGTACCCCACGGTTTCCATGACACCACAGAATTTCCACGTGGTTCCCTACGCAAATCCGACTGGTCCGTTGGAGTCCGACTGGTCCGCTGGTCGGTCGACGGTCATTGCTGGATTCAGAGACGACTGGTGCCGTTGGAGATGCTCTTCCTTCGAAGAAGCTCTTACTGCTGGCCGGGTGTGAGGTGCAACGAGAGCATGCTTTAACCTGGCCGTGGTTGCTGCAACGACCATTGGAATGTGAAGCTCACGAGCTGAGCTTTTCTCGAACGGAGCTACTGGTAGCGTCCTTATGCCAGGAGCTACTAGTAGCGTCCTTCTCATGGCCTCGAGTGGATGGGGTTCAGCATGTGTCTAACACATGTGGCAGGCATTTGATGGCGTTTGAGGTCAGTTCACAACGGGCTGCTTGTGCTCGGTGCCTTAGTGATCACCATCTGGTGTTTGCTGGTGGGGGAGGCCGTTCAGCGTTCCACTTTGCAATCTTTGTGCCCATATTCTTATGCCTTCACACGCCGTTTGTACGCTTGTGACAAGAGTTTTGTGAACCAGTTGCTCCGTGGGGTTGTCTCGCGGAGAACACATGATATATAACACGATAAACGCGACTTTGTTTGGCAGTACGGGCTGACCGGTGTGCCGAAGTCCTTCACCTGGGCATGTCAAGGCTCACTTGATCGGCTGGAAAGGTGCTGGAATCCCCACGCGCTTTGGCTTATCCAAGGTTTTGATCAGGGTGCCTAACTCTTGCTGTATATCACTTGTGGCCAGCGGCAACAAGCTTTGATCTGCCAAGGCAGCTAGGCAGCCAACGATGTTTGCTTTGGCAGCCAGGTGCACTAGTGCACTAGTGCCTGACAGCGGGTGCGTGTACCCTATCAGTGCTTTTCTAGTGTTCATCGGTGTGATCGCTTTTGTTTGCTGTTGTTTCTCCAGGCGGTGCTTTCGGTGGCGCATGGGGATGGAACGAGAGGATGGCTCACGGTGGTGCGGCTGTGCGTTCTCCGACGTCACACGACTCTTCCGGCTCTTCGCCCGGAGACGTCTGGTGTCTGTGCACCCAGCCCGTTGTCTTAGACACCCCAAAGAACTCCTGGTTCCAACAGTCGTCGAAAGGGATTCCACCGCTAGTAGGTTGGAGGCCATCGCTATTAGGGTGGAGGCCATTGCTAGTAGGTTAGTCCAACAATAGGTTTTAAGAAATCTTTTATGCCGTCAAGACGCGAAGCTTCGCTTCAGTCCCGTCGAGGAGAAGCTTCGCTTCGTTCTCAACTTGGAAGACCGATGCTTGCCGCACGGCCGACATCGATGTGTTTGGTCCTTCGCACATGAAGAGCGGTCTGTGGGTATGGTCTTCCTTGGATCTGCTTATCATTATACTGTACTACTTATTGACTGATTGACTGATCTATTTTGTCTAGGAGAACTGCAGGGAAGTCTGCAGGGATTGAATTCCTGGTTGATTCTCCAAACCTACAATTCTTGATTCAGTGCAGTAGGCGAAGCAAAGAAAGACCAGCAAAAGAACATGTCTCAAAACGAAGAAAGGCTGAAGTCTGTGAGGTCCAGTATTTGCTTGATGCTCTCCTTGGTCTTCTGTCTACCACTCTGCACCTTGGCACCCATTCTCCTCCACGTACCGCCTTCTTCCGGGCGTGAGACCGTGTGAGATCTCCGTGTGTGAGGCCACCGTGTGTCCGTCGTTCGATCAGCGGAGCCCATCAGCGGAAACCATGTGAAGACCGACGTAACCTCTGAATCGCAAGCATTTTTGGAGAGGACAACAACGTTCTGAGCTCCAAACGTGTAGTGGAGATCAAAAGAAACTGGCTTGCACCCAAAGTCCCAGCGACATGGGTTCCTTCGGCACTTCGACACATCCTTGAATGGGAAAACCATGACAAACATTAACATGACAAAATCGACGACATTAATGGAGTTCCACCCAGTTCCGCCCAGTATTCGAGGTGCTTTTCCTTGGCACTTCATGTCTCCTCAGACTTCGAAGGTTTTTTTCGTGTTTTTTTTTGCATCGTTCTGGTCGAACTCTTCGGCATCGTGTCTCGTGTCTCAAGGTCTGGCGAGCTTGGTGGCGCAATGGATCTGCTCCAGTGGCCTTTGGAGGTGACTGATCAACGGAGCTGTTGAAACAACAAGGGAGGGAAGAACCGAAAGGATTAAGGTTGGTAAAAATGATTGGTACACGGTACATTGGTGAAGTATTTCCTGACGTCTTCGAGGATTTGCCAAACGTGTGCGGCTGATGTTCAGCCAGGCATACGACAACGGGTCTGTCCGTTTGAGGCAGCTAGGTGGAAGTCGTTCACTCCGGTCTTCCCGCGGTTGGTCCAGGATATGCAGCTGTGACAAACCACATCTCAACAGACTTCGGGCAGAAGCGAATAAACATGTGATGGGTCTTCTTGATTGAGCTGTTGACAGATGATCAACTATATAACTCTGCGGTAATTATACTGGTGGTTTGCCAGAATCCTGGTTCCAGTAAGTTTAGAGCAACTTCTATGCCTGTTCTGGTCAGGCTGAGATTGGCACTAGCCCCACAAAGAGCTGTTCGTACGTGAAGAATGTCCTTGTCGCTTTAGGATGTTTAGCACCATGGATGGATGATTCTGCTTTGATATGCATGCGTTGCGCAATCTTCCGTGACCTTCCAGATTTCTGTATGCATCTCAGTCAGATGCCTGGACCGTTGCTTCCTCTGTTGATTCCTGGCTCCAGGTACTTGCTGTGGATTCCGGGATCGATACTCTTCTTGCCTAAGGCGCTGGCAGAGAGCTCAATGGATGGATTCGGGTCAAAAATCCGAGTCAATTGACAAACCCTTCGGAGATAGTCCTTGGGATCCCTTCGTTTCTATTTCGATACCAAAGGATGGAGCATACCTTTCATCAGTCTTCAGACCCTTTGGACCCGACACCACTGAAAACTTCACGAGATAAGAGAGACTTCCCCAAACCGTTTGTTGTTTTTTGATAGTGCACTTTTCCACCCAAATCTAGGAACCAAAATCATTAGTGCGTGAGCTATACTACATCAATACTAAAAGCTAACTCAAGCTATCCGGGCCGCCCCCTCTTCCCAGCTACCTCTGCCTCTCAAAACCAGCCAGGGCCTACCCTGCCGGTAGGCCCCGGACTTCTGGTGGTTAAAGGCCCGGACTTCTCGTTTTAGGCGATGCGCTTGGTGATCTTCCAAGAGTTGCAAAGGGCCCAAGACCTGAAACAACAGCTGCTGGGCGACGAGTTGGGCAGGACCGTTGCGGGAGGGGGAGACCCCGGGTTGGGGAGCGCGGGTCTTTGGTCCTGACAATGTGGGCTTCTTGATGAATGACACCTCCCAGTCTCCAGATGTTCCTTCTTTTAAAGATGTTTCTACACTTGTAGGCGAGCCTCTTCTCATCTCCGCTCGCGTTGCTGGTTGCTTGAGTTTCATGTCATAATGCCTGCATTCATGATTGTCTCAAGTAGCCGCACCATGCTTTGTTGCATGGACGATCATGAGTGCCAATTAACCTGCAAACCCATGGATATTGATTGTCCTAAAAGGGCTTCTCAAATGGTAGCGTGAGAAGAGATGCTTCTTGCAGTGAGTTTGCTCACCATGCCTCAACAGCTAAGCATAAAACGCTGGCTCCCTCCACAGCTGAATCGCCGTTGAATGTACCGGTCTTAGTTTCAGCTGTGGCAAGTCGAAGGAAGTTTCAAACAGCTGAATAGCTATGGCTCAAATAGCCATGGCAACCCAGACATATCCAGACATCATCAGCATCTAAGGTCTCTACCGATGTCTAAAGTCGTCCTTGTTTCCGTTTCTCGGCCCGGAACCCACCGCGTTGGGTTCCCACCGCGTCGTTGGTGCAGGAGGATGGCAGGCTTTTGGCAGCGAATCCCAGACGAGACCGAGGCGAGAGGGGCGTTGGACCCGCGGGACCTCGCAGTAGCCAGGGGCGATAGGAAGAGGTAGAGAGACTTGGGGATGAGAGGTTTTCACTCGCCTCTGAGAAGATTTCTGTGGCTTCTGACGGGGATGAGAGGCAGAGTCCAAAAACACGGTCCTTTTTTTCACACATCCAGTGTGCAGTATCTTCATTGTCAGCTCATCCACTTGGGTGGTCTTTTTCCTCCAACAAATCTCTGGAAGATGCTGTGATGACCTGAGTTCGATGCGCATCCCAGAATAAAGGCGTTTGGTTTGGAAAAGGCGTGATCCTCTTGGTATGGATCCTCCAAGAACTCCACCACCATGGGATGTGTTCTTCTTTTCTGGTGTTTGAATGGGCGTCCACTTGGTTCGGGTCCGGGTCAGTTCACTTTTGGAGTGCCATGACCCATCTGAAACTTCCAGACTTTCAAATGACCCATGATGTGATAGATGTCCTGCAGAAATTTCGCAACTTGGATGAGGCGGGCTGACAAGCTTCGTATTTGGGATGAGTCCATTCTTTGGCCTGGAACGACGGTATTTGTTTTCTGACACCTGTACAGTAGAAGAAGGCCATGTTCAGGCCAGTTCAGGCGTACAATTACAAAGACCAACATGGCTTTCGCATTTGGATTCCTTGGATCCATGGGTTTTGCAGCAAATTGGCTGAAAGAGAGAGAAAGAAAGAGAGAGAGAGAGAGAGAGTAGCAGGATTGCCTCCACAGGCGGGGACTTTGCATGAGGACGTGAAGAAGCAGGTTGGCCAAACATGGCAACTGCTGTCGTGGGCGAGGGGGAACAATTGAAGGAGCAGCGAGCTCAAGTGGTGCCACCGCTGCCGGATGTCTTCAGCAACCTGAGGTCGGTCCCCAAGTTCAAAGAAGATCCTGAGAGCTTTAAGCATGCGGACATCTTCCCTTGCTTCGCTGGCTTGAACCCGCTCATGTTAGGAACTTCGAGCGACCCAACGGCGAACGCCAGTGCCGAACGGCGACCCATGCGCGTGGGAGTGGTCATTGCTGGAGAACTGTCCTGCTTACCATCATATCCCACCAACGTGATCGTGGGTCTTTACGACTGTCTTTCAAAGGTGAACCCGGGCTCCAAGTTGATTGGCTTCCTTGGAGGGCCCGAGGGTTTGCTACACGGCCGCTGTCGGGAACTCCATACCAAGGACATCAAAGCCAGCATGAACTTGGGTTCCTGGAAGATCTTGAGTCATGGAAGTTGCCGCGATGGCAGTTATGAGAATCTTGAGTTTGCCTATCAAAACACTTCTTTGTACATATGTATATATGTCTAGATCTTTGTATATATCTTTGTACTTAATAGTTTCTTTTCCTTTCATTGTCGTTCCCCTTTTTCGTGGAACCGTGAGCACACCTTGTTGACTTCCGGTGTGTTTAACCGTGTGGCCAAGCAAACCGGTGGGTCCTTTGCATCCGTACTACACTTTTTTTCGCCAAGCGTCCTGAAGGTGGAAGAAGGGGCGTTCCTAATAGCTTCTGGCTCCTAGTAGTAAGGCCAGGAGCCCCTAGTAGCGTCCTTGCTCCTAGTACCAGGAGCCCCTAGTAACTAGTAGCTTCTTGTTCCTATGGCATTTGCCAACTCGTCCAGGAAAGAGAAGAGACGAGAAGAGGCTCTTGCCGCTGCCCGGACCTGCAAAGAACAGCGCCTGGACAGCCTCGTGGTGATTGCTGGGCCAAAGGACCTTTCCTGGGCAGCCACTTTGGCCACGTGCTTCACCGAGGATAACCTGTGCCAGACCAGAGCCCTGAACGTTCTGAAAGAGACCCTTTTGTATTTTGTATTCCGCGTATTTTGCCTCTTGTTCTGGGAGACCCTACTTCTTCGGAGTCTTCTTAAAAGCTTCTACTTGCCAAATCTCTCTCTCTCTCTCTTTTCTTTATAGGGTGATTTTTTATCGTTTTCCAGGAATCATCGGTGTTCCACACAGTAAAAATGTGAACCTCTACGTGCCCAAGTACTTGGCCGTGACCTTGGGCTTCGACACGGCCCGGCGCTTGCTGAGCGAAGTGGCTGGAAACATTTTCGTGGACTCTTTGAGCTGCCGGGCAGACCGGGTGTGACGGATGGATGGGAGAGTGGTTTGGTGTGTGCCGGCCCACACCTGGCAAAAAGGAGTGTGTATATATATATATAAGCTAATAAGCTATATAGATCTTTGTAGGTATAATACTGCTCGGGGTGATTGCATCAATCCGGGTATCCCGTCCAAAGAACTGGGTTTCTGTCTCTATGCACCAAGTGGGAGAAATCAGCTGTGTGAGATGGAGGAACCTGGTTCCGTGTGAAGTCGTCGCTGCGCGACCCGCCACCTCCGATGCGTTTTCTGGGTGCAGTTGCGGTGCACCCATCAAACCGCAGCCGAAGACGATTCTTTGTTGGCTGGGAGGGTAGTTCTTTGCAATTCGGCGAAGTCGTTTTTGGTTTTGCACTAGTTTGTAGACTCTGTTGCATTAGATGGGCACAATCCCCCTGTTTATAGCGGGGTGACCATCTCCTTAGTCAGTGTACCCTTACTACCTTTTCGGCGCGGTCGCCCATGCCATGTGAGCAGCGTTTTCGGATGTGTTCGGTGTGACATGCGAACAGAGGATGAACGGATGATTTCGGTCTCCGAGGCTCAAACAAGTACTGGCACTTCATTCGCTGTGGCGAGGATGCTTTGACCATGGAGATCGCTCTGCAGACGCGTTGTACCTACTCGGTGATGACCAGCAAGGCGTGGGGATGAGTTTGGGATGCAGAAATTGAGTTTGTCTTTTTGCTTATCCTAATAGCACACCGAGCCTTCTTGTTCCTAATAGCTTCTTGCTCCTAGTAGTACGGCCAGGAGCCCCTAGTAGCGTCCTTGCTCCTAGTAGTAAGGCCAGGAGCCCCTGTAGCGATGCCCTTTCAAGACTCCAGGCGGGGCTTGACACCGACAAGGCCAAGGATGAAAAGGCCAGCAAGGATGGCTTGAGCCAGGCACCTCCGGTCTGGAACCAACCAACACGCGATGGACCAGCGAGACACACGGATCATGGACGTGCGGTTCCCCTATGGGGCAAGTTCAAAGATTTTGGTATCAACCAAAAGGCAACCCAAATGACACTTATTTTGGAGGATGAACTATCTAAAGAAAAGCAGCCTTTCCCTATCAAAAGTTCCTGATGCCAGATGGTTTCAAGGGAGATGCATCGGTGTATCTCAGCAGTGCGGAGGGAGTTAGTTGCTGGTCGATTTCCCTTTCTATCGGGTACAGGGTCAAGTGACTTGTGGAAAGGAGAGGGCATGGGTCAAAGATCCTTGACTCCCCTCAAGCAAAAACATCGAATCAACCAGACCTTCTCCTTAGATCGAAGAGGTATCTGAAAGAGGCACTATGATCCAGTGAGTGGTCCAGTGATCCGCGTCCAGACCCACTCCTACGATCCCCTACGACTACTCAATTGTATCATTCATAGTCATTAATATATCATATATCAATAAATCCAGTGATTCCGCCGTGTTCATGGTTTTTCATATGTTTTCTCTGAAAAAGGACATCAATTTCATTGTTTTCCTCTGTGCTCACGACTCCGTTCAGGTCGTGAGTGAGATTGGTGACGTGGTCCGATCGCGGCGCAAGGCGGGGCGGCATTCAGGGGTGGTGCTGATTAGCCGCCAGTTCATCGAAACGCTGCCAGAGACTGGCATGTGCAGAGAAGAATTTTTGAAACATTTTTGATCATTTTTGAGTGGATTCGGGGGAGGTGTTCCGAATATATCTTTGACGTGTACTTAAAACTCTTTACGACCTCAAGCCATCTCGGTCGCCCAAGGAGATGGAAGAGCTGAAATCAGCGATCTCGCAGATTGTCGGTGAGGCCACGACCATGCAGATGCCACGCTTCGAAGAAGTGGAGCAACAATTGCCACCAGCTGTGTTGCGACCTCTCTTCAAACGTTTGCCACGTGTGGTGCAGAAGTCCCTCATCTGGCGCCGTGACGCTATGGGGAAGCCCTTGCTGCCGCGGAACCTGGAGGCTGAGCGCATTGTGGGGCGCTTCGTGCAACAAGAGCTTCGGAGTTTGCCGGGCATACGGAAGGTGAAGGCTACCTTTGCTCCGCGCTTTCATAACATGGATGCCGGGACCGACATTGGAGATGTATTTGCGGAGTGTCAGACCTCAATGGTTTTTGTCCCATGTGTTTTCAAGAGTATGTTTTGGGGGTTCCTTTGCAGGTACTTGAAAGGACATGGAAGATGTCCGAGAGTTTTGCAAACTTGTTGGGCCAACAGTCTTCAGGAAATTACCACCAGCTCTCCTTTGCCCTCTTCCTTCGACTGCGCCTTCGGATATATGCTGGGACACACTGCAGCAATCCTGGTGGGCGAGCAGCGGAACTTTTACGTGGCCTGTGCTGCGCAAATGCACCTTCCTCCCAAAGACTGGAAGCCTTGCGCTATCCCTTTCAGCTATTTGTACCCAGATGTACCTCCCACGCAGCCCGGTTCTTGCCCAGCGCGCCAGATACCCAAAACCGCCAAGTTCGTGAAGCCCCATTTGAGAGAGGTCTTCCGTTATTTCAAGGAAGCATGGGTGGAGGCCAATGCCTTTAAATCACCTGGTCCCATCCAGTTCGACACCTCAGGCGATGTGGGTCCTATGTCTGATCGGCCCTACACGTTGCTAGCAGACTATCTGAGTGTAGAGGAGCTGATCAAAATCATTCAACCTGTCCCCCAGCCTCCCCCACTGGTCATGTCCACGGACCCTTTAGTGGTGCGCGATGTGCGTGTCCGGGAGAACCTGGGCACCTTGGAACAACAACGACTTCGGTACAAACCCGCCATTCCGAACTATCTACGGGGTCCAGCCACTTGGAGTCAAAGCCAGCGTGGTGTTATTTTCTTCCGGGTTGCTCGTCTAAGAATAAGGGGAGGTTATAGGATGGACACAATTATGCCACATAATTATCTTTCGGATTCTTTC